GTTAGTGTGCACGGAGGGCCACAATGTCAGCATAGGACCTCCTGGATAGTTGTATCCGGTGCTCTTTGGGGCAGGAACAGTCGTAGCAAATAGCAGGTAAAAAGATCCTCCGCTGTCTTTAAACAGATGACAATTTACCCTTTTGAAAGTTATTATTGAGTTTCTGATCTCGGGAGCCTATTCCCTCTAGGTGAAGATTCAACTACCAATCAGGAACTGGTGAAGTTGTGACCTCTCCGCAGTTTAAATTCTGCGTTCCTGCCAAAAGCGTTGGGTGTCTCGACCCAAAGCATACCAAAAATCATTGTGCCTAATGGATGCTGATGTGTAAATAAGCAAATTAGGTCCCCACCCCCCACCCCCATCGCAGCCTGTTTCGGTCGATGTTAAAAAGCAGGCTGGCCTGGAAATGGAGGCCAAGAGCTTTAGCTTCCTGCCAGATTGCTTCAGTTTTGCACTTTAAAATCCATGCAAAGGTGTGCGTGAAACTTCCTGGAACTCTTTCTGACAGGCCAAACTTTTATCAGTCTGCGGGGTGGCAGGCAGGGGTTCGTGCCAACTGGTATTTTGCTCAGGGGCTGAGCGGCCTTGTCGCCGAATGTCCCGTTCCCCCCCCCCACCAGAGGACGGGTGGCAGCGATGGCTTTTGTGTGTGTGTGTGTTTCTTTTTCAAGGCTGCACTGACTGGGACACCCTTTTTAAATCCATGTGTATTTCAACATTTTGAACCACTACTAACTCGACACGTCTCGAGCTAGGACTTGTTGACTTCTACTGTAGTTTTTTTTCATGAAAGTGGAGAAGGCCCGGTTTACGGCCTTTTGTTTCTTCATGAGAAGGTGTGACACTGCCTAAATGTTTCTTACTATGAAACACACAGAACGTGAGGCTGCAGTCAGGGTTGTTTCTGGTGTTTTGATAAGGGCTTGCACGCTGCTCTCTCCCGGTTTATTCGTTAATCCCAGGGGCCAAAAAGCAAACACAAACCATCACCCCAGATCCTGTGCTGGAGTGGTCTGAAGGGTCATTTGTCTTGGGCCAACTGTGTACACTTTGGGCAGTCCTGTGGAGGGGCCGACATGCAGTAAATCGGGTATCCGGCCAGCGGCCGTCAGTATGCGGTGATCGTTCCAATCGTGCAAGGTGGCCTGGGCTAGATCCATGTGGATCTGTTCCGCTAAGTGCTTTCTCCCAGAGCGAGGATCCCCTGTTGAGCCTCTAGCAGCCAGGGAAGACTCTTTGCACCTGGGGAAGGCATCACCGTATGTGGAATGAATCTGCAGGATCCACCCTTATTGGTCTTCACTGAGATGGGCAGGATTTGGTCGATCAGTGCCCAGAGCAATTCACTTTTGCCAGCCGGCTGTGTGTCTGGTGCAGGAAAAGGCTGCCTGGGCCCGCCCTTTGAAATTCAGTCACGGTTGACATCACTTCCTCCGTGAACAGTCAGCTAGCCTGAGGACCCTTGCATAGCACAGGGGCCATTTCAGGATGTCCAACTCCATCTAAAATGGAGTGATAGAAGTGGCATTCCTCATTGAGGATGATCACCCGGAGTGTACGGCTGGCTGCTGCATCCGGTCTTTACGAAAGGCACAGTAGTGGCACTGATTGGCACCATGCTTTTAACTGGTACACCAGCATCCACAGTGACGTTCAAGATCCTTGGCGTTTAAATCTGGGTATTTTTTAAAAAACAAAACACAACTACTTTTGCGTCAAATTTCTCAACCAGCTTGTCAGAACGTGGTCTCTTTTCTTGTTCAGTTCATTTCTACTTCAAGCAGCTGAGAGCAGTGCCTCAAATAACCAGAAATGACCTTTTGTTTGTTGATACAAATTGTATCTCTTTCTTGATTGTATAAAATAAATGTACAAAAAGCCATCTCTAGGTTAGCTTCGATATTGTACTTTCATCACTATGTTTGTGACACTGTGTGTCACACTGAAGTAGCCCATGGAGGATTATGAATCTTTTTATTTAAAATGGGCACTTAACAGTTTCTAGAAGAACAAAGACAACTTTTCGAATCCACTTTATTAATATAAATGTGCACAAAGTGTGTACGGTTAAGGGCACTATGCTGCATAAGTTATCTTGAGTCTATTTATTAAATGAATGCATTCTTGCAATGGGTTTCTTTTTTCTTTTTGTAAAATGTATCAGTGTTAAATAAGGTAGATGTTGATATTTATATCCAGAGCTATTAACAGTAAAACTGCTGTAGGTCCTGCTTTTGTTCTCAACGGAGAATTGCTACAGTACGATTTCGGTTCAGCGTGAAATTTAATTCACCCGCACCCTCTTGCATGGATTTCTGTTTTTGTATGTATGAAAACAGATGTTCTCCATTATGCTCCTGTTTTAAGGTTATCTCTGGCAAGGGACTTGGGAGGAGCTGGTCAGCAATAGCTGAGCAGAGGCCGCTGCGTGAGCTCTTAATTGGGGATATTTTCTTGTAACTGTTTTGTCATTAAGTTTGTAATCTATTGAGATTTTTTCCCCCAAGCCTCTCTCTAGAGAGCGTTCTTGGGAAGAAACATTGCTTTGGAGAGGTGGTGGCATACCAGAACTGTAATACACGCCTCCTCCTTAAACCGGGAGGGACCCCCCCTCTCCCTAAAATGGTCCCCCCATATTTTTTTTCTGCACAAAGGTTCCGTTTTCACAGGGCGGGGAGAATGAAACACTCTAGAGGGGAGCCTGCAGATTTCTCCCTGCTGTTTATTTTCCTTCAAGAAGCTTTTATGCCTGGTTCTGTTTACATGTCTTGATTCACTTCTGTTAACCCTTTCTCTACTATTTTCTCGTGCCAGTTCAAACACACTGACATTTCACTGCCTTCATCTTTTAATGCAGAATTTCTTCTACCATAGAAGGGATGATACAAAAAAGTCACTTTTACCAATCTGTAAATATCAGACTTTGCTTTAAAATGCTCTTTTTGAGAGTACAGTATTCAATTTTTTAAAAAATTGTGTAACAAATGGCTTCAGACTCTCTATTTGTATGTTTTAAAATGGCCCAGTGGAGACCAAATAACAGTAATCTCCCACATGTCAACTATTAATTTGAATTTTGAGTTTTTGTGATTTATTATTGAAAGTGCTGACATTTGGTAGGTGACTTGTGTCTGGAAAAACACCAAAAGGTATTTCTTTGAATGTGATCTTACGTTAAGTGCTTTTGTAGGTAGTAACTGTTCCCTTGTATGGTTTTTGCTCGTACCTGTTATTTGACTACAGTTAGTCCTGTTGATGCATTATTAAGCTACAGTAGTTTGCTTTCCTCATTTGTAGAATTAAACATTACTGTTTAATCGTTGTAAAAAAAAATCTAAGATCTCTTTGGGTTTTTTGGTCGACCCAAATATAATGTAAGTCTCAATGACAAAGAGTGACGAAGGATTTTAAAGCCAATTGACCTGATCCAGTCAGAGCGAGGCATGCAAGAAGCTGGCTTTTTGCGCACGCAGCGGAATCAGATGGTGCAGCTGTCTTGAGATGCTCATCCAGGGCTTATTGAACGAGCTGGATGTGCCTTTTGATGCTGAAAGTGATGCACACCACTGTCTGTGGCCGCTACCGGCTGTGTGCAACTAGAGCTGGGTCAGGGCCAGCATGTGGTGTGTCTGTGAGCAGTAACCCTGTTTTGTGCAATGCTTGAGGCATCCACTGGCATGGGCATGCATGCAGCCTTTTAAAAGTGTTTTATAAAAGTTATAAGTGGTTAATGTAATTACCAAAGCATATCTTGCTAGGGGGAAGAAACCAGTTTTACTGAATGTGAAAAACCTATGCCTTTGGACTTCTGGGGGGGGGGTGGAATTTAAAGACGATGGACTTTTCCTAGTAAGCCAGTTGTAGATGTTTCCCTGTCATGCCTCCTGTACAGATGGTACCCTTCAGTAAATCTCCTCTGGATAGGACATCCAACCCTCTGATACCACTGAACAAGGATGTGAGTAGGCCAAACGTTCTGACAGGTGTGTCTGTCCCATAGGTTATCTCAGTATGCATCTGAGCCAGTTAGAGCAGGGAAGCGGCCAGTTCCTAGAAAACTGATCAGAGACGTATTACTGTGTTTTGAAGTGCTAATTCTAAGCGATTATGTGACACGGGCCGGGCTGCTGAACAGTCAAGGGGTTCAGAGTGGTATAATTTCTTTGGCAGACATCTTGCCAAAGGGATCAGTCCACCAGCCGCTTCCGATAAGTAACCCGTCTCAGTTCGGGCTTCAGCAGTAGCATACTTCCCTGAAAGTCACGGTGCCTGCCCACTTGTCGGGCAGGACCCAGTGAGCACATGGGACATCTTGCAGGTGGGCATTCCTTTCCCATAGGTGTGCGATTTGTACGCACGTGGCCATCCAGGTACAGGTTCCTCTGTCATTTCATGCTGAAGGAACGCAAGCGATCATGCACCGGCGTGGCTGTTTAAAGTGGCTCAGTCTTACTTTGTACTTCAGGCCCACAACTGGTGCCGAGCGATGCACACAAAGTTGTTTTTCTACCGCTGCATCCTGAAGGTTGTTACAGGAATGATCATCTTATTTTCCTCCCTGTCCCTTAGTGCAATTCTGAATACTGTATACCAGGTTGATGTAGCTGTTTTATATCCCAGTATTTACATAAATGTATTCAGTATTCAATAAAACGAGTTGCGTGCGCCATCACCTTTGAAAGTGTCTTGTGTGTTCTCTTTACAACTTTTGAAAAGACTAACAAGCAGTCTACTTAAAGTGGGTTTCAACCCGCACTACAGATGATGATGTCACCCTCCCAACATTTCAAATCATTTATAAATTCAAAAGAACTTAATGACAGGCCTTTTTTTTACTGATCCTGCTGCTGACCTCCAGCTACAAACTTTAGGGTGGCTTAATAAGCTGGTTAGATACTCACCATTAAACATTGCTATTGTGCACAGTAAGTATTTAAGCTCCCACCTGGCTCCCAAATCGTAGAAGGAACACAAAGAGTAATACTCCTCTTGGGGGTTTTTCAGTATTTTTTTTAATTAAAATGCAAAACAGGTATCAACAGTAGATTGTTTTATTATTAACCACTAATGTAAGGCAAGCAATTTGCTCATTCATTGTACCCCACCATAATTTTAGGACAAAACCCACCCCCTGCAGGAATCCAGTGCTAAGTCTGGACATGTGTCAGCACCTTCTCTTCTCCCTTGTAAACAAGGATGTGTTCAGGTGTCCAGCCACTGAAATCCCACTCAGAAAAGCTGAAGACCGCTCTTTAGTTTATGGAGCTCGCTCTGGGTCCACAATAATCCCTCAGCACCTGATCTGTTCCATTCTGAGTTGCTGGCAGGGGGAGAGGAAAAGAAAGTTTCAAGAAGTTTCACTTCATTAGGCACGCTATTATTTCTGATTTTTAAAAGATTTTTTAAACAAGTAATTGCTACAATCAACATGTTGGGCATAGAACAAGCACATGGGTTTTTTTTCTTTTTTTAAGCCCCCGGAGGGGATTTTTTATTGATTTTTTTAACACTACAAAAAACTACAACAGAAAAGGGAAGGGGGATACTACATATAAGGGAGAAAGTAAAGAACCCACTACTAACTAAAATCCCAAGAGAGACCCTCCAACTAGCTTTTTGCATTCAGACTTTTCATCTTTGTACTTCTTATGAAGTTTCAAGAAGTTTCACTTCATTAGGCACACTATTGTTTCTGATTTTTAAAAGATTTTTTAAACGAGTAATTGCTACAATCAACATGATGGGCATAGAACAAGCACATGTTTTCATCATTGTATCTCATTGCCACCTAAGTAAACATCAAACTGAAATAAAGTGGCACATACCGCGCTTCAATAAATTGGCATATCAACCAATGTTGTTTCTATATTTTCCCTTGAAGCGGGTACTCTAAGCATGCCTCCATCAGGTGTAAGGAACACACTTCATTTGCCATTTGGAAGCTTAGGGCTACTTTACACTACCATTTGGCAGGTCACAGTAAGCAGCCAATTTGGAGTGAAAATACAAATCCCCAGAAATTCCATCTTCAGGTCTGAGCTGGAGAGCCACAGGTTGGCAGTCCGAATGCCCACCAGAGCTGGGGTGTCAAACTCATTTATTACAAGGGCCAGATATGACATCATTGTCACTTTGTTGGGCCAGGCCATGTGTGCCATAAAATGTAATGCCAGGTACCGGAGATAGAAACTTTATAAAGGACACAGGCAAAACCAATTAACAATATTATTTTTTACTCAAAATACAAACAAAAGTGATTGATCCCTAGCAGGCTCTTACCCGACCCGCAAACAACTGGTACGTATGGAAATGTAAGGTACTCCCCCTTTTATGGTATCCCTTGCATGTGATTATATACATTTATTGGGGCTTTTGTGGGTTCCCCAGTAAATCAATTGCTTTTACTACTGGGATCAATCACTTTTGCTTGTATTTTGAGTAAAAAAATAATTTTGTTAATTGGCTTTGTCTGTATCCTTGATAACGTTTATATTTCCGGTACCTGGTGTTACATTTTATGGCACACATGGCCCGGCCCAACAAAGTGACATTTATATCAGATCCGGCCCTCGTAATAAATGAGTTTGACACCTCTGCATGAACAGATCTCCACACTTCAGCAAACTGCTCTTAAACAGTCTCGGGAGGAAGCAAGACTCACTGGAGTTCAAGGGGGATTTGCTTGTTTTTATTTTTGAAACGTTTGCCCTGTTTATCTACTATCAAGTCTGCACAGCAGTGAATGGTCGAAAGGTTTTTAACACCAGGTAACATAAGCATCTTTACAGGAACACATGATTAAAATCAGCAGACTCATTCAGACGCCCCCCCCCCAAAAAAAAATGTACACTGTTTTTAGTAGGGATGCTGGGACTCCTGTTGGTTTGGATCAAATCACAATTGCCAGTTGCAATTGATCAGTGATTGGATCGAGTACTTGCCAAGCAATTCATCAGGGTTCACTGGGTGACTACATGTCTAACACAACAGCATACAGAACAAAGTTTGAGTCCAGTGGCACCTTTAAGACCAACAAAGTTTTATTCAAAGTATACGGCTTTTTTGTGCATGCACGCTTCTTCAGATGCAATGAAAGCTCACACCTTGAATAAAACTTTCCTGGTCTCGAAGGTGCCCAACTGGACTCAAACTTTGTTCTGCTGCTTCAGACCAACACAGCTACCCACCTGAATTTTTATTTGCTTATTTTACTATACTTCTATCCTGCCCTCCCCCGCAAGTGGGCTCAAGGCAGGTTACAATCAAAACAGTTAAAATACAGCTCCAATAAATCAAGTAAAATCACAACACAATACCAGGACAACAAAGATGGCAATTTTCAGAAACCAACTGGACTCAAACTTTGTTCTGCTGCTTCAGACCAACACAGCTACCCACCTGAATTTTTATTTGCTTATTTTACTATACTTCTATCCTGCCCTCCCCCGCAAGTGGGCTCAAGGCAGGTTACAATCAAAACAGTTAAAATACAGCTCCAATAAATCAAGTAAAATCACAACACAATACCAGGACAACAAAGATGGCAATTTTCAGAAATCTGGTTGAGCCCATATGTATGTCAGATGGATCAAGGGTTAGATATGTATGCGTGACTGGACCTATACCCAGAGATCAACCAAATCGTATGACTTAGGTAGCAAAGGAAACTACTGTGTGCAGCTGCCAACCAGTTTCTAAGGTGTTTGGGACATCTGCTGTGACAGCAAAGGAATCGGTTCGTCATAATCGCTCCCCAACTGATATGGCAAGTTTCGCAGCGAAGTTTGTGACATCCCGAATTTTCAGCCCCTAACCTAAGAGAGCGAGTTTAAAAAAATCTTATGAGTTTCTTGTGGCCAAGCAAAAGTGCCTGCTCAATCTCCCTTGGGAGGGGGTATGCCACAGGCAAGCAGCCACCACCGGAATAGCTGCGTCTGTAGTACAGGTCAGTCTCTTCTATTTGTGCGATCTGCACCTCACTTTCCTAGACCACCCAAGGAGATTTACAATAAAAGATTAATAGTAGAACACACGATGAGAGAAGAATGAAACAAGTCGGCCCTAAAAGCAGCACACATGATGGCAACAATCAATTCACTGGCAATCTGTGACAGCAACAGAAGTTGGTCTGAAACGGTTTTTTAAGACTGCACCTGTCAAACCCCACAGCAGGCAATGAAGTACACACTTGCAGGAAGGTTTTACTTTATTAAAGCCATGAAGCACTTAGAACAGATTCTCTGTTCAGAATAACGAGATGTGCGTTTGACAGATAGGTTAAGGCAGATTCATAATCACCCTAGCCAATAGATATGGTTCCCGCGCCCGCTCAGAAGGCTCATCGCGCGCCCAAACCCTGAGAAGCAACGGTTCTATACAGTTAAACAATTAGACTATTCCCACACTACATGTTCATTACAGACTAAGCAATAAGCCTCCTGCCGCTCACCACCTGTGGCCTTGGGTTGATAACGTTCCATCAAAGCAAGACTAGCGTACATAGAAAGGAATGCAGCCGAGGAGAAGATGAGCGCATGAGAGTGAGGGTAGACATGCGCAGAAGAGCAGATTACATTCACCATGGCTAGGGGGGGTTAGGCATACTGAATACACATAGGAAAGACACATTGGCAGCTTGCTGACAGCACCCAAAGAAGATGGGGGCAGCCACACTTTCAGCAGCAGGGAGTTCCACAAACGGGTGGCAGCCGCAAAAAAATCTCATCCAGCACCCACCAACCTTGACTCCAGTAACAGGCTCTTGCAAGAGAGCCGCACAAGAACACCATGATGATGAATAAAGCCTTAATGTATTCTGCTGAGAGTATACACACATCCAATGCATACATTACATTAACAATTCTAATTTCCAGGTTTTCACCATATATTTGAGGATCTTGCAACTGTATAACTTATTTTCTAACTGAAATCCTCACAGTAATAAATTGTAACACCGTATTTATGGGGTATTTTGAGAATAAATTCTCACTAACAATAAAATCTGAGAATTTATTCCCAAGAAGATTGTGTACCATTCAATAGAGAGTAACTACTGGATTATAAAGATGTTATTCATCGCGGTCAGTGTTGTTCTTTTGCGGTTTAATGCACCACACACCCGGTTTTGTTAATTTCTTGCAAGAGAGGGGCACGGCCTGAAATCGCAGGGATGCTCGTCATGGCAGAAGCAGTCCTTGCGGCACTCAGGATTCACAACAAACTGGGAATCTAGTGCAGGTGGCAAAAGTACTGGCGTTACATGTTGAATGCATAAAGCTGCCTGATACCGTATACCAAGTGAGACCATCTGTTTCTCAACGTCATTATTGTCTACTTTGGCTAAGGTTCTCCAGGAGATCAGGTGGACATCTTTCACATCACTGCCCACCTGATCCTTTTGACTAGAGATGCTGGAGAGTGAACCCAGGACCATATGTACGTGACGCCACCTTATACCGCGTCAGACCCTCAGTCTCTGAGGGCCAGCACTGTCTGCTCAGGTGTTCATTGGACATTTCAGTGGGTTGTTATATTTATATCCAACTTGTCTTCCATCATGACATTTAAATGGTGTACGCTGGACTGGGTTCCAAGGAGGCCTCTTATCTGGCACCTAAGCAACTTGTCGCTATGTGTCACTGGCCAGACACATCAGCTTGAATGTATCCATGTTTGTTCTTGTTCAGTCGCACAGTCGAGTCCGACTCTTTGCGACCCCATGGACCAGATCCCGCCAGGCCCTCCTGTCTTCCGCCGTCCTCTGAAGGTTGCTCAACTTCATGTTCGTTGCATCTATGACACTGTCTAACCATCTCATCCTTTGCCGTCCCCGTCTTCTTTGACCTTCAGTCTTTCCCAGCATCAGGGTCTTCTTCTCCAGTGAGTGCTCCCTTCTCATTTGGTAGCCAAAGTATTTGAGCTTCAGTTTCATTATCTGGCCTTCCAGGGAACAGCCAGGGTTGATTTCTTTTAGGA